TAGTAGTAGTAATAATACGAGTAGCAGTAGATGTAGTAGTAATATCGCACGTAGTCGTAGTAGTAGCAGTAGTAGTAGTGGTAATAATTGTAGTCGGAGTTCTAGTCGTAGTCGTAGTAGTGATAGTAATAATAGTAGTCGTAGTAGTAGCAGTAGTAGTCGTAGTGGCAGTAGTTATATTAGTAACAGTAGCAGTAGCAGTAGCAGTAATAGTAGTAGTTGTAGTAGAAATGCGCAGCAGTGGTAGTTGTAGTACTACTACTAATAGTCGGGGTGGCCGTAGTAGTTGTAGTGCGAGTAATAGTAGTAGTAGTTGTTGTTGTAGTAGTAGGTAGGTAGTAGTAGCAGTAATAGTAGTAGTAGTAGTAGTAGTAGTAGTCGTAGTAGTAGTAGTAGTAGTAGCAGTAGTAGTAGTAGTAGTAGTAGTAGTAGTAGTAGTAGTATTAGTAGTAGTAGTAGTAGTAGAGGTAGTAGTCACAGTGGTAGTAATAGTAGCCGTAGTAGCCGTAGTAGTACTAGTAGTAGTAGTAGTAGTAGTAGTAGTAGTAGTAGGGGTGGTAGTAATAGTAGTAGTTGCGGTATTAGGAATAGTAGCAGCATGAGTAGGTAGACAGGTAGGTACACAGTAGTAGTAGTAGTAGTAGTAGTAGCTCGGTTACTAACAGAAGTAGCAGCAGTAGTCGTAGTAGTAGTAGTAGTAGTAGTAGTAGTAGGACTACGACTACGACTACTACTATTACTCATAGTCGTGGTCGTAGTCGCAGTCGTAGTTGTAAGAGCAGCCGTGGAAGTAGTCGTAGTAGTCGTAGTAGTAGCTGTAGTAGTAGTAGTAGTAGTGGTTAAAGAAGTAGTAGTGGTCGTCGTAGTAGTAGCAGTCGTAGTAGTAGTTGTTTTTGTAGTAGTAAGAATCGTAGTCGCAGTCGTAGGCGTAGTAGCCGCAGAAGCAGCAGTGGTAATAATAGTAGTAGTAGTTGTTGTTGTAGGGGTAGTAGTAGCAGTATCAATAGTAGCATTATTAGTAGTAGTAGTAGTAGTAGTAGTAGTAGTAGTAGTAGTAGTAGTAGTAGTATTAATAGTATCAATGGAAGCAGTAATCGTGATAGTAGTAGCAGCAGCAGTGGTGGCAGTAGTTGGGATAGTGCTTGTGATGATAGCAGCCGTATTCGTAGACGCAGTAGTGGGTGTACATGTCTAGTACTGCGAATACTACTGCTGTGTCATCAGTACTGTTTCTATTTCAGAAGTATTATTAGATTGTTACTACTACTACTACTACTACTACTACTACTACTACTAAACTACTACTACTACTACTACTACTACCACTACTACTACTACTACTACCTACTGACTACTACCTACTACCTACCTACCTACCTACCTACCTACCTACCTACCTACCTACCTACCTACTTACGACTACTACTACGACTACTACTACGACTACTACTACCACTACTACTACTACTACTACTACTACTGCTACTACTATTTCGACTACTACTACCAGTACGGCTACGATTAATACTACTACTACTACTACTACTACTGCTACTACTACTACTACTACTACTACTACTACTACTACTACTACTGCTACTACTACTACTACTACTACTACTAACTACTACTACTACTACTACTACTACTACTACTACTACTACTACTACTACCTACTACCCACCTACCTACCTACCTACCTACCTACCGACCTACCTACACTACCTACCTACCTACCTACCTACCTACCTACCTACCTACCTACCAACTACTACTACTACTACGACTACTACTACGACTACTACTACTACTACTACTACTACTACTACTACTACTACTACTACTACTACTATTTCGACTACTACTACCAGTACGGCTACGATTAATACTACTACTACTACTACTACTACTACTACTACTACTACTACTACTACTACTACTACTACTACGACTTCTACGACTTCTACGACTACTACTACAACTACTCCTACTCCTGCTACAGGTAGTCCTCGCAGTATTAGTAGTAGTAGTAGTAGTAGTAGTAGTAGTAGTAGTAGTAGTAGTCGCTGTAGCAGTAGTAGTAGTGGTAATTGTAGCTGTAGGACTCGTAGTTGGCGTAGTCGTAGGAGTTACAGTAGTATGCATATGTTGTAGTAGCAGTAGTGGGGGTAGTTGTAGTACTAGTAGTAGTTGTAGTAGTGGTAGTAGGAGTAGTAGTAGTAGTGGTAGTAGTCGTAGTCGAAGTAGTAGTAGTAGTAGTAGTAGTAGTAGTAGTTGTTGTTGTAGTAGTAGTAGTAGTAGTTGTTGTAGTAGTAGTAGTAGTAGTAGTCGCCGTCGTCGGCGTACTCGCAGTAGTAGTAGTCGTCGCAGAATTAGTTGTGGAGACGCACTAGTCGTAGATGTTGTCATCACAGTCGTAGCACCTGTTGTCTGATTAGCAGTAGTAAAGGTATCCGCTGTGGCTTTGGTAATGGCACAGTCTGGCTGGCGGAAGGGAAAAAGAAATACGATGACGACGACGTCGACGACGCCGATGACGAAATGGGAGATGAAGGTGGCCCATGCGTCAGTGATTTATCCCCGCGGCGAATCCGCTGTGGCCTCGGTAATGGCACATTCTGGTTGGTGGAAGGGAAAAAGAAATACGATGACGACGACGTCGACGACGCCGATGACGAAATGGGAGATGAAGGTGGCCCATGCGTCAGTGATTTATCCCCGCGGCGAATCCGCCGTGGCTTTGGTAATGGCACAGTCTGGCTGGCGGAAGGGAAAAAGAAATACGATGACGACGACGTCGACGACGCCGATGACGAAATGGGAGATGAAGGTGGCAATTGCGTCAGTGATTTATCCCCTTGGCGACGGGGCAGATGTAACGTCGCCTTCCGCCTCAATCCCTGGGACTCGTCCTGGGGCGCATTCTGACCAGCATCCCAGGAGGATCCAGCTTCGGCGGCTAGGGCGCCCTCCGACTTGCTTCCACAAGTCAGCTAAAGTGGCCCAAGCGAGCCGGTGGCCTTCGAGGCAATTCCGGGGTGGGGCCCCGCAGAGGCTGAGAGAAAGCCCCCGACCACTTCTCCAGGGCAAACCTCATGCTGCAAATCGGTTCCGATCGCCCCGGGGGCCCGGAAGCAGCCCCTGGGAGGTCGAGCGTCGGGGAGAGAAAAGCGAGGGAACGCACGTACCACACCGCCGAAGTGAGAACGCGCGTTCCGCCTCCGACCTCCAGCGCCGGAGTTGCCGCCCGGTCTTCCTCTTCCTCCCCCCCCTCCCCCCATTCTCGTCCCCTGATGCTCCGGGAGCATCAGAGGAAGAGAGGATCGGGAGGGCAAACAGGACACGGCACATAGCGTGTGACATGAGTTGGTTCGGGAAAAAGAGGAGGAGCAGGAGGAGGAGGAGGAGGAGGAGGAGGAGGAGGGGCAGGAAGAGGAGGAGGAGGAAGAGGAGGAGGAGGAGGAGGCAAACCCCCCAGAACGCAAGAGAACATCCTGCTGCCACGCACGGGGAGCACTGCACCCCGTGCGTGCTCGCCCCCCCGTGCGCCTGCGCGGCCCGGCGCGGTTCGCTTTTCGGTACCCCCGTCTGGCTCTTTCGCTGGTGCACCCAACTTTGCCTCGCCGCCGACGAAAGAAAGAACAATAACAAAACAAACCATATATATATATATATATATATCAAAACACAACAAAAAAACAAAAAAAAAAAAAAAAAAAAAAAAAAAAAAAAAAAAAAAAAAAAAAAAAAAACGTGGCGCGGCGCTGCGGCCACGCTCCGCGGCGGCGCGGCCACGGCCCGCAGCGGTGGCCCTCCGACGCCCGGCCGCAGGAGGACCACCTGCGCTTCTACCGCCGCCTGGCGCTCGCGCCCGACGTGCGCGAGGCGGCGAGGAGGCTCACGGCGGAGGCGGCCGGCGGAGGCGGGCCCCCCGCATCGGGGGGGGGGGGGCTGCGGAGGCCGGAGGGCGCGGAGGAGGAGGGCAGCAGAAGAGAGCGGAGGAGGAGCAGGAGGAGGAGGAGGAGAGGGGGGAGGGCGAGGAGGAGGAGGAGGAGGAGGAGGAGGAGGAGGAGGAGGGGGCAGACGAAGAAGAGGGGGGGGGGGAGAAGCAGGAGAAGGTAGAGGGGGAAGAGGGGCAGGAGGAGGAAGTCGAGGAGGAAAAGGAGCAGGATGGAACGAAGGAAATAGTGTAGAAGAAAGAGGTGCAGGGAGAAGAAGTGGAGGAGGAGAAGCAGGAGGAGGAGGAGGAAGAAGACGACGACGACGACAAGAAGGTAGGGTGGAGTGGAGGTGCACCAGAGGACGACGGTGGGTCGAAGAAAATAGTGTAGAAGAAAGAGGTGGAGGGAGAAGAGGTGGATGAGGAGGAGGAGGAGGAGGAGGAGGACGACGACGACGAGAAGGTAGGGCGAAGTGGAAGCGCACCAGGAGGAGCAGGAGGAGGAGTTGGAGGATCATGAGAATGGCCATGCTAATGATAAAATAAGAAGAACTACGATCAACCCGCATAGCGAGGATGGGCAACGTTCCCACGGTTACCTTTGCATCCTTCCCCTTCGGCCCATCTTTGGCCGCTTCCGCTGGCCGTGCCCCGCTTGCAAAGTGTCAACATGGCCTTCCGAGGCCCTTGCATCCGAGGAGGTAGTGGAGGAGGAAGGTGATCAGGAGGGCATATAGCACTTGAGAGTTCACATGTAACATTACCTGGCTCGGGAAGGAGGAGGAGGAGGAGGATCGCCCAGAACGTTAGTGCATCAGCTGCCACGCATATCATTCTAAAGTGATGTGTATAAATATACACATCTATATACATTTGTACACATCTACACACACACATATATATATATATATATGTATACACGTGTGTGGGAAATCCCGGCCCCAAGGCCCCAGGGTGGCCCCTTTTCCGAGTGTGCATCGCTTGCGGAAGAGGTTGCAATTCTCGGGTGGTTGTATAGGTGGAGCTGGATGATGGGGAGGAGGAGGAGGAGGAGGAGGAGGAGGAGGAGGAGGACGACGAGGATAAGGAGGAGGAGAAGAGGGACGAGGAAAAAGGAGGAAGGGAGGAGGAGGATGAGGAGGAGCAGGGAAGAGAGGAGGAGGAGGAGGAGGAGGAGGCTTGACACGGCGCTGTTTGGGGGCTTCTTCGGCGCTAGCAAGGGGGGGTTCTGTTGGGACGAGGAGGAGAGAATGAGCGGCAGGAGGAGGAGGAGGATGCCTGTCACAGCGTTGTTTGAAGGCTTCTTCGAAGCAAGCAGGGGGGCTCTGGGATTTGGCACGGGGCTGCTTGAGGGTTGGTTGGGGCTTTCAGGTGTGATGGTCTCTTCGGATGACTCGCAGTGGCCTTTTGGAGAGCTGTTGGGGCCACGGGGAGGGAGGAGAGGAGGAGGAAGAGGAGGAGGAGGAAGAGAAAGAGGTGGAGGAGGAGAAGAAGGAGGAGGAGGAGGAGGAGGACGAGGAGAAGATAATGAGGGGCAGGACGAGGATGAGGTCTGTCACGGGGCTGTTTGGAGGCTCCTGGGAGACTTTTTGATGCCTCTGTAGGGCTTCTGGGGGACGTTTCGGAGGCATCTTGGGGACTATTGGGGGCGCCTTGGGGGCCTTTAGGGGGCTATTGGGGCCATCTTGAGGGGAAAGGCTCGAAATGTCAGTTCGTATTCCTTGTCTTGAGTTTTTGTTGGTGCCCTCCTGGGACTCCCTTGACCCGTCTTGGGGTCTCTTGGGGCCGTCTGAGGGCCCTCTTGGGGCGTCTTGGGGGTCTTTCAGTGGGTTTCGTGGACCGTCTGGGGGCGATTTTGGAGGTCCTCGGGCCGTGGTACACGCTGCGAAGACGAACAAGGCGAGCGTGCTGAAAATGCACGTTTTCCAAAGGGCGCGGGGCGATCTGTCCCTCCTGGGGCCCTCCTCGGCGAGCCTCTGGGAGCGCTCTTGGGCCAACTTGGGAGCTGCGTGGGCCGCCGCGAACCCATCTTGGACCGTCGACGGGCTACCCTGGGCGGTCTCGACGCTCTCTTGGACTCTCGGGCCGTTTTGTCTGGGCGCTAGGGCCTGGGGCCGTCTTGGAGCTGTTTGGAGGCTCCGGAGGCCCCAGGGGTGCGCTGACGAGCTCGCCCCCGCCCACCCCCTCGAATTGGATTTGGGACCCCATGGGAGGAGGAAAGGGGGAGGGGGGCAGCCAATCAGGCCACACGCCTCTAAAAAACACCCGAAAGCACTGCCCCGCGCCGGGTTGCGACTCGTAGCCCCGCCCCCTTGCGGGCCCCAAGAGGCGCCCAGCACGGCCCACACGGACGCCCAGACAGTCCGAGTTGGCTCCAGGACGCCCAAGGAGAGCCCCGAGCCCGCGAGCGGGCGCGATGCCCACCGTTGCCTGGCGGTGCCTGGCCGCGCCCCCGTCGGGCGTGGGCGCGGCCGCCCTCCTCCTTGCCCAGTGCGGAACGGCCGCCCGCGCCGCGTGCGCGATGCGCCCCGCCCGCCTGCGCACGAACGGCCTGCAGAGCCCGCTCGGCATCCAGACGGAGGCCGCCGTCGCCGCCGTCTTCGTCGTCACCGTCGTCGTCGTCGTCGTCATCATCGTCGTCGTCGCCGTCCATTTTGGCTCAAGTGGCTTCTTGCGCACGACTTTCCACTGCACCAGTCTTCTTCTTCCCTGTTCAGGTAACGTCCCGTTCTCACCCATGGCGCATGTTGCCTCTCCCGCATCAGACATAACAGGCTGTCGGCGCCATCTCGGCAGCTGCCGCGGCCGCCGACACAGCACCGACGGACGAGAACGGTTTGTTCGTAGATGGTGCCAACCTTCGCCATCTTAAACATCAGCGTGCATCCGCTGCATTGGCAGGCCATGGAAACGTTGACCCTTCCGACCCTTGGACGGCCGCCGGTGCTCATGAGTTCCGAGCTCCATTTCGTCAGTTTTTCGGACACTCAGTCACGGAAGCGTTGACGACTGCGGATGTACGGAGTGTCCTCGATCGATCCTTAGCAGTCCGGCTGTTTCGTTGACCTCACCGCTGGCTTCCGCACGATGTTCGGCGCCACCGTGAAAGCCAAGGTCGACAGGGCCGTCGCTGAGGTCTTTGTCGTGAAGCAGGAAGTCCAGTCCCTGAAAGGCTCGCATGGCTGTTCTCGAGTCTGGCCTTGCTTCTCCAGTGGGTGGTCCTATTTCCGTTGGCAGTGGTGGCGCCCATTTTTCCACGGCTGCTCCTTCTCCAGTCAGGCCCCCCCGTGGGCCAAAGAAGGGTTATGTGTGTTGGGGGTTGGATTTATTCACAGGGCGCAGAGCCCCTGGCGGAGATGAAGGCCATCTTGACGGACGCCCACATCCAGGGGGTTGCAAAGGTGTACGCAGCTGGCTCCTACACCGACAGGGGAATGGTTGAGTTCGCCAACAAGGACCGCAGCTGGCAACGCTCGGTTGGGACGAAGGGAAAGAAGTTCCTTGGCCATCTCGCCGATTGGTCATGGGGGCCCGACACGGTCGACAAGTCAAAACGGAAGCTCTGGCACAGCACCGAAACAATATGCGCGCGGAAGAGATCGCTTGCTACACTGGCGCTGCTCATGCTCGCGATTTATACATATTTATCACAATACGAAGAAGGAAAAAAAAAAGAAGAAGAAGAATAACAAATCGGCGTTGGCCACCAGACGTGGCCCGACGTGCCGCGGAAATCCCTCGCGACCAGCCTCGGCGCGCAAAAGGACATGGGCTCAGCTAGGTGCCTTCGGCGCCAATTCCCACAGTGCGCGAGCCTCCGCGAACCTCTTCGGCCTGTCGCCCGCTCGCTACTTTCTCACGCTGTGCACGTTGCTAGGGGCACCCAAGCTCGGCACAGCCACCATTGCGCCCTCTTGCAGCTAGGGGCCCACCTAGATGCCATCAGCAATCCCCCGAGAAGGAACCTGCGATTAGGCACTGCCCTGACAGTTCACTCCAGCGACGGCGTTATAATTCCCACTTGGAACTGCCGTAGAGCTCCAATGCGTGGGATCGCATGGGCGCCGGAGGCCCTTGAGCAGCGTTTTGTTTATTTTGCTGGGGCGTCTTCTGCCTCCAAGACTTAATGCGTGGGGGGCGGTTTGATGCAGTCCGAAATTGATGGCCATGCTGCATTTTCCCCATGGCCCCCAGCGGGGGGCGGAACTGGAGATCTTGCGTGGTTCTGCACAAGACAATCACGGCTTGCACCGTTGGAAGAACCGGTCGTCCTGCCGGTTTAGCTATTTGCGCCCACGCAGCGCGCGCTGGACGCCGATGTTACGCGCGCGGATGTAGGCCACGATTCGAGCGATCGCACGTTGCACGCGTCGGACTTATCGGATTGCGAGCGGCTGCTCCACCTGGTACTCCCTGGCGGTCACCCTGTTCCGGGAGTCGACGCCAGCGCCCCCCCCGCCCTCCCCGCCGGGCGAGATCGGGCCTCGCAATGCGGGGGCGGATAGTTGAAAGTCGGCTACTTTACTGGAGTTTCTGACTTTTCATGGCTTGCTGCCGCAAACGTGGGGTCGCTGTGCCCGGGGGTGGGGGCGCCTGTCTCTACGGCGGCAGATGTGCCTCTCGCCAGATAGACTAGATCGACTTTGCAATCGCCGGCCAGAGACCAAAAAAAACATAGAGAGAGAGAAAGAAAAAAAGAGAGAGAGAGAGAGAGAGAGAGAGAGAGAGAGAGAGAAAATAAAGAGAGAGAGAGAGAGAGAGAGAGAAAGAGAGAGAGAAAGAGAGAGAGAGAGAGAAACATAAATAAAAAAGAGAGAGAGAGAGAGAGAAAAAGAGAGAGAGAGAGAGAGAGAGAGAAGAGAGAGAGAGAGAGAGAGAGAGACAGAGAGACAGAGACACAGAGACACAGAGACACAGAGACACAGAGACACAGAGACACAGAGACACAGAGACACAGAGACACAGAGACACAGAGACACAGAGACACAGAGACACAGAGACACAGAGACACAGAGACACAGAGACACAGAGACACAGAGACACAGAGACACAGAGACACAGAGACACAGAGACACAGAGACACAGAGACACAGAGACACAGAGACACAGAGACACAGAGACACAGAGACACAGAGACACAGAGACACAGAGACACAGAGACACAGAGACACAGAGAGACAGAGAGACAAAGAGAGAGACACAGAGAGACACAGAGAGACACAGAGAGACACAGAGAGACACAGAGAGACAGAGAGACAGAGAGACAGAGAGACAGAGAGACAGAGAGACAGAGAGACAGAGAGAGAGACGGACGCGACCCGCGTTCGAGCCCGCCCGCGCACGCCGCTCTCCGCCGGAACCCGCCGGCCGGAGGCTCAATGGCCACGGGCGCTGCGCCCAGATCGAGCGGCGCCTTGATGTCGATGGGGCGCCCCGGGACGGGGGCCAGTCTGGACCGCGTCGGTTCCCGCTTTGTCTGGGCAGCGGCCAGAGCCGCGCCGTCGTCGGGGGCCGCCGGGGCCCGCGCCCGAATCTAAGACCTCGGGCGCCCAGTTCGACTTCGCGCTTCGAGCCCGCGGGGCCGCGCTCGCCACCCCCTGGCGCCGCGCCCTCGGGGGCGGCGGCAAGGGGGCTCGCGGCCCCCATCGGCCCCCGGGGCGCGAGATCAGCGCCGCCGGGCCCAGCGACCGAGGCCATTGTCGCCCCCGCGCGCGTCCGGGGCGCCCCGGAGAACGACGAGGTTGCCCCTGGGCGCGACTTCCCCGCCTCGCTCGCCCAGTTCGTTCGGCGCCAGGTCTTCCGGGGGTCCGGGGCCCCCTGCCCCCGGGGCGGGGGCCGCCCCGACGCGCGGGGCGTCGTCCTGGCGGGCCGTCTCGCCCTCGAAGGAAGCCGCCCACAGCGCGGCCCCCTCCCCGGCGCGGCGGCCGCGCGCCCGACCTTGCCCAGAGGGGCAGCCGGAGAGAGCCAGGTTCCCCGACCGCCTCCGGGGCGCAGATGCCCCGACGGACGAGCGCCAGCTTATTTCGAGGAGGCGGGCGCGGAGCCGCCCGAGCTCTTCGCCCTTCTTTTTTTTTTTGTTGTTCCATCGCGCCTCTGGGCATGGGGTCCTGCCCGAGCCCAGAACGGCAGCGGGCCCCCGTCCGCGCGGCCGCCGCTGGGCCCCGCGTGGCCCCCGGGAGACCGCCCCGTGGTCGGGGGGGGGGCCAGGGCCTCCCCATGCCGACCCGGGGCGAGCGCGCCGCCGCGGTCGCGGGCGCGGCCGCGCAGCGCGGGGGGGGATCAAAAGGGCGGGCCGCGGGAGGCGCCCAGGTGCCCGCCCCCCCCGCCCCGGCAGCCAGTGCCGGCACTGCGCCAGGCTCGGGGCGACGAGCCCGCCCGTGGACCTGAACGCCACACGGACATGAACCCCGCCCGCGCACCCCCCGCGTGCACGCGCGGCGCGGCGCGATTTGCGTTGCGAGCAAGCGGCGAAACAAGGGTGGATTGAGCGCTCAAAGAGGGGAGCGGCGAACGCGAGGACTGAAGGGGGCAACGTGGTCGCAGACGTGGTGGACGACGATGGAGGATGTGTTTTTTTTGTTATTGCGTTCCAGCGCTGCCCTTTCAACAGCAATGGAAATGAACCACCACCTCCCAAATCGGTATGTGAGCAGTGGCCTTGGGTTACTTTGCAGCGCCTTCCACAGAAGCTCGGCGCGTCGGTTCTGCGGAAATGTTTCGGAAAAAATACAATAAGGGAAGACGCGCGCCAGAGATGATTGCAGTGTGGCAGAAGTGCTGGAGGCCTTTAGATAACGCTACCCTGGGCTTGCTGACGGAAATGCAATCTCGACGCCTCATCAACCGCCCGAAGAAGACGAGCGGCCGCGTGCTCGCCAGGCACCATGTCGCTCTGATCGCAAAGTTATGGGCCGCCTGCAAGGTGTCAAATGTCAGACAAATTGCCGCCCCCCCCCCCCCCTCCCTGCATCCGTACGCCGTGCTCGATGCGCGTCGGTTTCATCGTCGACCTCCGCGAGCCTCCCATCTCCCGCTCTCAGCTTGCTTTCCCGAAAGGCTTCTGGGCTCGCGGAGTAGTCGCCGCCGCGCGACCCCTGACAGAGAAAGCTAAGGGGCACCAGGAACGCCTGTGCACGGGGGTTGGCGACCTCCGCAAGGCGCGCGACCGCGCCCCCCATAGGTTCGGCATCAAGAACTGCGCTCGCCGAGAAACCCCCCCGCATTCTGACCGCTGCGCGACCGGGTGAAATCCGAGAGGAAGGGGGGGGGCTTCGGAGATGATGCGGCCAGGACTCCCGCCCCCGCGTGCTGATCCCAGATCAAGATCTCTGCTTCAATGAGATCCAGATGCGCCCATGTTTTGTTCGCTCTCCTCGGACGATGCCGCGCGAGAGTTTTAGGGCCGCTGCGGGAAGGAGGGATAGAGCAACCCGCTGGAGAAGGAGGAAGAGGCCATGGGCCATGGAGGCGCTACGACAGCGCAAACTGGAGGAGAACGAAGGCAACGGTGGGCAAGCTGGCGGTCGTTTTTCTCGCCGGCAGCTGCTATCCTCGCGCCGTTTGCGCGGCGACGCTCGCGCAGAGGATGGACATGTGGCACGACCCTCGCAGGCAAAAGGGTACCTTTCGGAGGTGGACAGACCTCCTACCCTGACACGTCGATTAAGGAATTGGCCGTTTTCGGTTCGCGAGAGGGCGTCGCGGCCGTCATTTTGCGGGTCCAGGTCCGTCGATTTCGGCCCTGGGTTTTTTTCCACTAAGGGGAGGTTTACTACAGGGAGGTTTGTCCACCGCCGAATCTTAACCATCGGGCACGAGGAATCCGCTCCTGGACGGCCACCGCCCCCGATGGCCTCACCCAGCCGGCCAGCCCCGAAGGCTGTTTTTAATTTCAAAGATTTTCCGCAGGCACGAAGGTCTCATTATGCAGACTTCGCAGGCTTCCGAATTCAGAGGTTTCCAAATGTTCAAAGACTCCGCAGGCCGTTTGCAAAGATTTCGCAGGCCGCTTCAGAGGGCCCAGAATGCGGACTTCGAAGTTTTCAGACCTGCTGACTTCGCAGGCTCCAGCATGCAGACTTCGCAAAGCTTTTTCAAAGATTTCGCGGGTCGTGTTCAAAGAGATTTCGCAGACCCGGGGCCCGGGCGTCGTTCGACGGAAGCGCTGCGTGCGCCATCAAACAGGGCAGTGCACGTGCGCGGGCGGCGCTCCTCCACGTTTGGCTCGCTCTCCGTGTTCGGCGCGCCCCGCTGGGGCGACGAAGCGAGCTGCCCGACGGGATCGTCGTGCCAGTCGTTATTGTTGCTGTTCCGGTTCTGCGTTGCTCACGCGCCGAAATGTGGCCCAGAGTCGCGCTGCTCAATGCTGGGCATTGACGTACATGGTCGGTCTCCAAAAACCAGTGGTCAATTGTGAAGTACGAGGTCTACTATCATGTACGTTTTTGGCTGGCGCCATGGGTTCCTAGGGTCACCAGGGAAGTTTCCAAGTCTGGATGTGGGAAGACACGCTTGTTACCAATATGATGGAAATCGCTGGGCCAGCGTCATTGCCAAGTTG